GGACCAGGGCCGGGGGCTCTCGTGGTCTAAAAGTGCAGTGTTTCTCTCTCAGTCATAAGGTTCCGGGATCGAATCCTACGAGTGACGAAAAAGGTTCCTTGTCTGCACCTTCTTCTTTGTCTTCCTTTCCTGTTCTCTAGTCCTGCTCTGCCATCTCATTCCATCACCACTTTCACCCGCATACACCACATTTCTGTTACCTCTATATTTGCACTGTCTTTAGTGATTGTCTAGCATTCGGAGTCGTATAGAAGGGTTGATCTCACACAGCCTTTTAGAATGTTTATTTTCGCAGTCATTGAGATGTTTCTATTTTTCAGGAATGGACTCATGGTACTACATTTTGTATTAAAACTATCTTAATCTACTCCAAATGCCCGTTATAATTAAAATGAGGATGATGATAATCATGATGGTAATGACCATCATTGTGTTGATGCACTTCTCTTTACTCAAGCTCAAACAACTCCACTCGCTTCGGTGTTACGACAAGGGTCAAGAGTTCAAGGATTGGGATATTTTTATTGAAACTATTTAGGCGTGTACCAAATGACCACCATAGTGTCAACATGCTTCACTTTACTCAAACTCAAACCCCATCTCCACTCGGTCTCCCCCCCCCACTTTGTAGTCTGTCCTACGACAAAGGTCGAGAGTTCAAGGATTGGGCTCAGTTATTGAAACACTAAATTAAATGACTGTTTGTGATGATAATGATCATTATTCTGTTATTATTATTTTGGGGTGTTTTTGTTTGTTTTGCTCACATCGTGCTCCTGAAGAAACCCATAACGGCAAAAAGTTGAACATATTGTATAACGTTATAAAACTTCAAATACTTAAGTCTCCACCAACTTTTCTTTTTTTTTTTTTTATTATTGTGCTTACTACGATGATGATGATGATGATGATGATGATGATGATGATGATGATGATGATGATGATAATGAGGAGGAGGAGGAGGAGGAGGAGGAGGAGGAGAACGAAAGGGAAGGGGGTGATGAAGAGAAGGGATGATAACAATTAAAACAACAATAGTGGCGAGTTTGAGAAGAAAAAATGGGTATGAAAATAAAGAAGAATGAAGGAAACAAACAACATTTGATGTGCTATGAAGCTGACAGGCTTTCCTAATAATATGGCCGCTTTTAAGGACACGCGGGCTAACCAGATTTCGGGGTTTTTCCAGAAATCTTAACCTACACCAAAAGTGGGCATTGCCCGACCTATAGGAGAAGTTTGGTTTCATTGGTGTTTATATTTGTTTGATTAAAGAGAAAACTCTCCTTGTCTTTTAAAGAAACTGATGTGTGTGTGTGTGTGTGGGTGTGTCGAATGTGCTTCTTCTTACTCAAACTCAAACCGCTTCTCCTTACTCAAAATCAAACCCCCATCTCCACTCGCCCCTTCCCCCAGGAGCTCGCAAGCACCCACCGTGCGGTCTGTCCTACGACAAAGGTCGAGAGCTCAAGGATTGGGCTCAGTTACTGAAATAATTAAACAACGTTTATGATGATGATGACGCTGATTCTATTGTTATTGTTTGGATATTTTAAATCGTGTCCATGAAGACGCGAATAAGGTCAAAATTTAACGTTATAAAATTTCAAATGCTCAAGTCCCCACCAACTTTTTGTGGGGGGGGGGGGGTTTCTTACTGTACTTGCAACAGTGATGATGACGATGACTTTGATGATGATGACGACGGGATAATGACCATTTGTGTGTGTGTGTGTCGATGTGCTTCTCCTTACTCAAACTCAAACCCCATCTCCACTCGCCCATTTCCCCAGGAGCGCGCAAGCACCCACCGTGCGGTCTGTCCTACGACAAAGGTCGAGAGTTCAAGGAGAAGGTGGACGAGGAGGTGATCCGCCTGATGACGGAGGATGACATCAACCTCCACGGCAAGTCGCCCACCTGGTCCCTGCTCGTGCATCGTGAGCCCACCTTCTCGGACGAGTCGCCGCTCATTGCAGGGAACTTCATGGCTGCTTCCAAGGTCTGGGGGGCGGGAGATGATGGGGG